TTTCGCGGGCGGCGTCCGCTGATTGATGATCCCTGACCGGCGTGGGCGGAGGCGGCCGCCGCCAAGCCGATAAATCATCGGCCACGAGTTTCCCTCGCCGCGCCGCGTCGGCTGGCCGACGCCGAGCGCGCCGACGGGCCCGGCGTTTGATCTCCCGTCAAAGTTATTCTGACGCCGACCGTCCCGCCGCCGCCGCCGCCGCCGATTCCGCAGCACGTCGGAAAGTCGGTATTTTTTTCCCGTCCGGCGCCGCCGTCAAATCCCTCGCGGTCCACTCGATGCACCGCGCGAACGAAAACTGCGCCCAGAAGCACAGGCGTGCCGCGTCGGCAGGGGCCCGCAGGGGTCGCAGAGGAGATACCGCGTTTTTGAACGAGAACGGAAACACGAACGTTTCAAATCGGCGAAACAGTTGTGTGTCGAACCTGACGTCGCCCCTTGTACGTACTGTGCGTATTATCGTGCGCGATCAAAACGATAACGCGCGATAATTACCGCGCGTTGCTGGTACGGTGGGTAGCTATGCTCGACGCGAAGCTAAGCGCCGTTCGGATATTATGTTCAGAGACTGCCCGGAAAAATTTCCGGTAAAACGGACCGAGCGGAGGCAAAAAATTGCGACCCTCGCTTCCCGTGTATCGACCTCGTTTCCGGCGACGACGACGCCGGAAAAAGGTATACGTCAGCGTAAATATTACCACGATTCGGACGAGCTTTTGTTATCGATATATGTTAACAGCGATGTGTAGGTAAACAATAAAAAAAAAAAATATATATATATGAAACTGCACATCCGCAGTAGAAAAATACAAACAAGAATACTTTTCCGAATATAAATTACGTCTATAAGACTATAACTAAGCTTTGAACAATAAACTAAGCTTACGATGCATACATGTGTTCGAAAAATCAGTATGTTATCTTCTGAAAATCAAGTCAAATCGCAGATTAAAATAAATTCAAGAACGCTCAAAACTTGTTAAAAATGGTTTTTTTTATTGAACAAATGGTAGATACTATTTAAATTACAGGTATGCCTATTTAAATTGAGTTCAATACAGAACGTCGAATGGGAAAATATAATAGTAATAAATAGGTCTCGGATTTCAATGCAAAGTGAATTTTCCGGGGTGATGATCTCAATTAATTCTTTTCAAGTATATAATTTGTTATACTATTACTTTAATATTAACAGATACTCAAAAAGATAATCTTGTATTTTCCTTTTTAGATTCTGAGTGTAGCGAAAAATGATTTTTTTTTCTTCGTAAATGTAGAGACCAAACACAAAATGTGATATTTAAATAAGCTTAATATATTTTTGGCATTCTTCAGCGATAAAGATTGTCAAATGGTCTACGCCGATAACGTCTTAACCGTATCTTTATTAAACGGTTGTTGTGCTCAAACAATTAACGAGTATAAAAGTGAAACTTTTGTGTTCACGTTTTACGTTGTTTTTCCATTTCAGTAGAGAATTGTTAGCATTTCAGGTAATTTCGTGTGTGGTGTTATTTCGCTAGATCATTTTTCGACAATTTCTAGGGAATTATAAAGCCCGGACTACAGCGACGAACAAATTTTGTTTATTAACGAGACATGTATGTCCTGTTATATCCTATACACGGTGCCTGAAATACATCGGTTAGGTAACCGTATTGTTCTCGAATACAATGCCGGCGAGTTACAAACACAATAACTTACTATTCTGCATTTCGTATTTACGTTGGGACGCGATTTCCCGAATCTTAATGGACATTAACGTAGGTGTTGCGAACGTAATCGTTCTCATCGTAATATATATATATATATACGTATGAAGTATGATTCATTGCGAATGTGTTACGGCGTTCGCGGCTGTGTCGCCGTCTCGGTCAAAGCGAATCCCGCCCAACGATCCGTACCCTTTACAAGGGAAAAATGTAAATATCCAATAATCGCGACCGTCCGATCTCCGCCGCGCGCCGGTCACGTCAATCTTATCGATACTCGTTAGCGGGTTTTATACGCACCGTTTGCATATCCCTCACCCCCCCCCCCCCCCCCCCCCCCCNCCCCCCCCTCACCACCACCCGATACACCGCGGTGTATATCTGTACACATATTATTAAGTTCGTATACGCGTATACGTAACACGCCGCGATATACTTATCGGGTCAGTCGGAATTTCGCATCGCGGTATTATTAAACGACCTATCCGACGGGAATCGTGAGCCGCGTCACTCCGCGGGAGAAGCACAGAAGCCGCGAGCCGACAACGCCGAGAGACGCGCGTCCGTTCCGATTGTCCTTTCACACCATCTAAGGTTTATTGTGTGTGTGTGTGTGTGCGCGCGCGCGTTTTTTCTTCTCTTTATGCACGTACACACACACACGCACACACACAGCCACGCACACAAAATACGCTCGTGTCCCGTAGGTACGTATACATTGTGATAATATGCGTTTCGAAACACTGCTTATACGCAAGAACGCGAAAACCGTGGGTGTAAAATAAGCTTTAATCCGCGTCCAAGACCACCGGCCATTGTAGACATACATATATTTATGTACTGTGTCATTGCGAACGATGCACCGCTATCGAGTGTCCGCGGATATTTATTATTAAAAAAAAAAAAAATTAGTTTTTAAAGCGAGAATTAAGAGAGTGCGCCAGAACCGATATAAGTAGTATAAATATGCCGGTTCTGGCGCAGCTTGATATTTTTCACTTTAAAAACTAATTTCTGATCTATAATTACATTGTTTTTATTTCCAGTCTTTTTTTGTATGTATAAATTAAACAAATTTTCGAACCTTAGTAAAAAAAAAACATTTTCTATAATAAATGGAAAGCTTAAAAATTAAATTAAATAGTGTCACCTTTAATTATAAATTCATTAAATTAAGTGATTTAGAAATTGATCAGGAATATTTATGCAAATATTTTAGTATTGATAAAACAAGATATGGTAACAAATTAAGTGTTATTTTAAATGATTAATTAAAATTATTTTTACCTGACAGGTTTTTAAATAATTTTTCTCATAAAGAAAGTGAAACATTCAATAAAAACACACAAGAGCAAATCTTTTTGATTTGTAAAGGTGTAAAACAATTTAATAATAATAAAATATTTTATTTGATTGAATTTGAATAGTTAAACCATATTTTATCTGTATTCTTTTTAGTACACATTTTTTAATTTATTTTAAATTAAAAAACTTGTATTCTTCTTTTTATGTATAGTTTGAAGAACCTCAGAAGTAACCCACTTTTGTAAATAATTTAGCTTCTTTCATTTTGGATTTAAAAATAAGAGAATATAAACCAGATTCATTTATATAAATTGTTTTTAATTCGTTATAATTAAGTCCCGTCTGTACGACGGGACTAGTTATTAATTTATTAAATAAAATTTTAATTTCTATTTTTAATTCTTCTATTATTATTTCTTGATTATTTAATACTAACGCTTCAGGAATATAACTCTTTAAATTATACATATCCGTAAATTTATTTTTTATTAAATCATTAATAAATTCAAATGGCTCATCAATAAAAATTGTATTTTTTTCATTATAAGTAAGGGGGGGGGGCATTTCACCTCCCCATTTAATTTTTTCTAATAAGACTTTATTTTTATATTTAACATATGTTCATATTGCTTTTTTTGTATCTTTATATTCTAAAACAGTAGCAATATCTTTTTCTTTGAACCATATAATATCACAATTTTTTCTTTAATAATTTGACTTTTATCATTTTTAAATGTTCTTTCTAGTTACATTTTTGTGAAATATTATAATAAATTTTTGGATTCTTTTTGAAAATCTTTATATTTTTACAAAAACCGTTGATCAACCGATTTATGAGAAATTAAAAGAAGTATTTAATGATATAGATGAAATCGAAACAGTTATTTCTAATGAAGGTATAGTTTCTGTTGATGAATGTAAACCGAATAGTTTAGTTATTTTTGATGATTGTATTTTAGAAAATCAATCAATAATGAAACAATATTATATAAGAGGTCGACATAAAAATATTTCTAGTATTTATTTAACACAAAGTTATACTGCTGTGGATTTAAAAATTATAAGAAACAATTTAAATTTTTTAATTATTTTTAAACAGTCTGATCATTATATTTATAAAATATGGAAAGATTTTATAAGTGATAATAAATTAAGTTTATTTAATTTACTTTGTAAGAAATGTTGGAAAAAACCATTTGGATTCTTATCAATGGTTATAACAAATAATCATCTTTATAATAAATTAGATCAATTTTTATGCGAACATTAAAAATTGAACGTTAATTGTTAATTATTGAACATAAATCGTTAATCGTTGAACGTCAATCATTANATATCTATATTATATCTATCATAGTTAAATGTGTACAAATATTCGCTATTCTTAATGAATAAAATGTTTGATATTTTTTTTGTATATATTGAACCTTTCCATTGATATAATCACCTAGAACTTCAAATTTAGAATTAGAAAAACACATTGGATCTTTAAAATAAAAAAAATTGTTTAGTAAATTCATAAGGTAAATTTCTATCCCAAGGATGATAATCTACATACTTTCCTTTATTATCAAAAAAACTATTCATATTTGTTTATTACAAAAAAGTTATTTTTTTTTATCTTTTCTATAATAAATGGAGAACATTTTTAATAAATATGATGATCATATTATTCGATCACAGTATAAAATATATGAAGCAACATCAGAAACAAATTTTAACAGAGATGGAAGTGTTATAACCATTGAAATATAAGGTTCTGATAGTTTTCTCAATATTAAACATGCAAAATATATCATTGGTGGAAAATACTTAAAAAAAGATGGTACTGAATATGAAGCAATGTGCAATTAGATGATAATTTTGTTGCATTTTTATTCTCTCAAATTGAAGTAACAAAAAATGGTTTGTTAATAGATCAGATTGAAAATGTTGGTAGATCAAGTATAATCAAAGGTTGTATTAGTTTTTCTTTAGATAATAATGGACCAAAAATTAATTCAGGATTTCAATCAAGATTTGAAAAAAGAGGAAGCTATTGGATATTTATCTAATCTATGTTTAGGTTTCTTTAAAAATATTAAACATCCGATTTTTAAAGGAGTAATTAAAATAAATTTTAAAAGACCAAAAGATGATGATGCATTGAACAGATGGGCTTCTACAACCGCAGCAATACCAACTGTTGGAAAAGTTATTATTGATGATTTTAAGATTACAATCCCATCAGTGGAATATCAAGAAATGTATAAAATACAATTAATAANTATTAAAGAACCGATTTTTAAAGGAGGAATTAAAATAAATTTTAAAAGAACAAAAGATAATGATGCATTGTACAGATGGGCTTCTACAACCGTAGCAATACCAACTGTTGGAAAAGTTATTGTTGATGGTTTTAAGATTACAATTCCATCAGTGGAATACCAAGAAATGTATAAAATACAATTAATAAATGAATTAACAAAATTATCTTAAGGAAATAATTACAGGTTAAATTTTAGATCTTGACAATGTATAGATGAAACTAACATAAGTGGAAAAACATTCAAGAAAAATATCGCTAGTACATATAGAAATATCCATAATCCATTATTCGCAATTGTAGATTTTCAAACAAATGGATTAGAAACACAAGAAAAAAAAGCTTCTATATTTCAACATTGTAATGTAAAAAATATTTGGTTAGAAATTGACGGACAAAGATATCCACAGGAATCATTAAACTTAGATTGGAAAAATGAAAAGTTTTCACTTGCTTATGATATGTATATGTCATATAAGAAAACTTTTTATAAAACACATCAAGAACTTCCTCTGATGTATCTTGATCCTAGAAGTTTTAAAAGTTCAAGACCAATGTATGTATTAAATCTTACTAGACAACCGGATAATGTTAGTGGAAATAGAAATAATATTATTTTGAATGCAGAATTTAATGAGGATGTACCAAATGATACAATTTGCTATATTTGTTTAGTTTCAACTTCTGAATTTACATAGGNATCTTACTAGACAACCAGATAATGTTAGTGGAAATAGAAATAATATTATTTTGAATGCAGAATTTAATGAGGATGTACCAAATGGTACAATTTGTTATATTTGTTTAGTTTCAACTTCTGAATTTACATACGATATTGTTAATAATACAATTAGAAAAAATATCTAATATTAAAAATATATAGTACATTTTATACTTATTTTTATTATATAATATCATTAAAAATGAATTTATTATGTTAATAAATATGGAATTTTTAGAACTAATACACTGTTACAAATGCAAAAAGAAAACTAAAAATTTTAAACCAATCAAGGTTCAAACAACAAATGGTCTATGGAGAATTTCAACACAATGTTTAAAATATAAAACAAAGAAAAGTAAATTTATTAAAACTCTTTTAGGAAAAGAAACAATCTCAAAAATAAAATTTGAAAAAATAACAGAACGAGATAAACTAAGTATTGCAAAAAAACTTCATAAACCAGTAAGATCTCAATTTCTAAAAAGGAAAATAAAAACATATGGTATTGATGATTATTGGCCTGCAGATTTAGTTATAATGATAAATTATGGTAATGAAAATTTAGGTTATTTATATATGTTGAATGTTATGGATACTTTTTCAAAATTGGCTTAATCTGAATCCCTTAAGAAAAAAGATGAAAAAAATGTTACTAAAGGTTTTGAAGAAATAATAAAAAAGGCTGAAAAACAGAAACATAATTCACCAACATTACTTCACATTGACATAGGAACAGAGTTTGTAAATAAACAGTTTAAGGAAATGTTAGCAAAATAAAATATAAAATTGTATCGCACACAAAACGAAGAGAAATCTGCAATTATTGAACGTTTAAACAGAACTTTAAATGGTAAAATGAAAATACAGTTTGAAGTTCAGAAAAATAGAAGATGGGTTGATATTTTACAAGATTTATTGAACAAATATAATTTCAAAGATATTCATCGNTAATAAAAAGGGCTAAAAAACAGAAATATAATTAACCAACATAACTTCACACTGACAAAGGAACAGAGTTTGTAAATAAACAGTTTAAGGAAATGTTAGTAAAATACAATATAAAATTGTATCATACACAAAACGAAGAGAAATCTGCAATTATTGAACGTTTCAACAGAACTTTAAATGATAAAATGAAAATACAGTTTGAAGTTTAGAAAAATAGAAGATGGGTTGATATATTACAAGATTTATTGAACGAATATAATTTCAAAGATATTCATCGAAAAATTGGAATAATACCATTTGAAGTAAACAAATCTAATGAAGAAAATGTTTTAATTAAATTATTCCCTAATGAAATATCTAAATCAAAAATTAAATTTAAGATTAATGATAGGGTTTGAACAAAGAATTTGAAAAAAGCGTTTGATAAAAAATATAATTCTAATTGTACACAAGAAATTTTTATTGTTACAGAATTATTGAATATAAATCCAATTACTTATAAAATTAAAGATTTAAATAATGAAACTATTGAAGGAAGTTTCTATAGTCAAGAATAACAGACAACTAAATTTTGAAATTTAAATATTTTAATATAAATATGAGTATTGTTTTTTCAAAAAGAAGTAATATATTTTATATGTTGGAAAAAAAAAAATAAAATCAAGAAGCTAAATTTAAAATTAATTCTTTTGATATATAAGCTCCTGTTAAAATTTAACCAATTTTTCTATATTTATTCGTAATAAATTACATAATGTTATTGAATTTGTAAATGAAAAAAATATAATATATGAACAAATCAATTATAATAATGAATTTGAAAAAAAAGAAATTGAATTTGAAAATGGAACCTTAGATAAAAAAAATATATATAATAATATGGAAGAAAATAATAATATTGCAACCACTTTAAGAAAGTTGTGTAATACATGTAATATAATTTCAAAGATATTCATCGAACAATTGGAATGATACCATTTGAAGTAAACAAATTTAATGAAGAAAAAGTTTTAATTAAATTATTCCCTAATGAAATATCTAAATCAAAAATTAAATTTAAGATTATTGATAGGGTTTGAATAAAGAAGTTGAAAAAAACGTTTGATAACAAATATAATTCTAATTGGATACAAGAAATTTTTATTGTTACAAAAGTATTGAATACAAATCCAATTACTTATAAAATTAAAGATTTAAATAATGAAACTATTGAAGGAAATTTCTATAGTCAAGAATTACCGACAACTAAATTTTGAAATTTAAATAAATCCAAGAAACTAAATCTAAATTTTTTTTTTGGAAGAATTGCTCTTGTGTGTTTTTATTGAATGTTTCAATTTTTTTATGAGAAAAATTATTTAAAAATCTGTCAGGTAAAAATAATTTTAATTTATCACCTAAAATAACACTTAATTTGTTACCATACCTGAACCTGAGTTTGAACTCTCCTTTTTTATACTACTATTATAGTTTCAACATTACAAGTACATTCTTTTCGTCTGGTTTTAAACCTAAAAGTTGACGTAATTGTTTGTTTCTTGATTTTATAGAGTTTTTGGAATCATCTGAATTCTTATCTGTATTATGATAATAACCGCACAAGTGACAATCATGACTAAAAAAAAAAAAAGATTTAAAAGAAAAGGTTTCACGATTAAGGGTTAACTATTAATTTTAGGTAAGTAAATTAACATCCAAAATGATTTCTACTTACTCTTTTTTTGATGTAATATTAATAGAGGAATTGTTAATTTTTTTGATCCTGTCAGATTTCAAATTATCAAATTTATGTTGATTAATCTTCTGGTCTTCTTTTATACTGTACTTTTCGATAGACGATTTCGTACTAGTCGAACACTGGCAGCTATTACTGTTGTTATTAATTTTATCTGCGTTTGTATAAATGAAACTGTCGAAACTATTTTGATTATTCAGGAAAGGTTTTGGAATTTCTGAATTGTTATGATAGGGAATTCGATTCATATTTGAATCGTCTTTGTGCCAATTTGTATATTTTTTCGAATGATTAAAATCAAATTGTTCGTCTTTCTTATTAGAATGCGAGCTTAGATGGTCACCATATTTATTGTATTCGCAAAGGCACTGATTTAAATGCGTTGAATTAGCCTGATGTTTGAATGAATTTGTGTGATAAGTATGATTGTTCCATAAACCATCTTCAGAATTACTAAAAAATTAATACAAATTTAAAAAATATATTTATTGTTAACCACCTCTATCAGCATAATATTAAATAATACAATATCAATCTGTGGCAAATATACTGATTATAAATGTACTCGTATAATATAGGTATGTATCAGGGTTGAGAAAAATATTATCTAGATAATTATTCGAATAATTTTCTAACACAAAACTCGAATAATTTTCGTTTATTTTATTTGTTTACCAACCGGTAATTTAAAAATAATCAATTTTATTTTCGTTACTAATAAACCGGTATTAAGGCAGTTAATGTAAGCATCACTCGTGTGATTCAATCGCATTGTATAGATTTAGACTTAAGACTATTACTGAATGTGCAGTATTTTTGTATAGAGCTAAATATTATGTTCGGAATGAATTTTTATATAAAAAGTTATCAAAATAAAATTTTATTCGAATAATGCCCAACTCTGTTATATAACAACCAATTATAAAAAAATAATTTCATATATTATTGTAGTTATTTTATCATAATTTATGATCTAAAATTATTTTAAGATCAACTATATATATATATATTTATCCTGAAGTAAGTACATACATTTTGTTGAAAATAATTTATATTTTATGAAATAGTTCTTTTTTTAATTGTATACATTTATGTTAATCATGTTATAATGGTACATACGTACATGTATCATTAATATTATTGTTTAATCTTTTTTGTCGGATGTAAATAATATAAAATGGTTGTTTTTTCTCGGTCGGCCATAATACATAATATTATATTATTCAATTTAAAATTATGGGACTCCGCAAGACTATTTGAAATGATAAAACCTGGAACGACTGTTTTTTCTCATACAAAAATTTAAATAATTGAGTATGTTGTTAAAGAAACCATGAAAATGTAAGAAATTTTGTGATTTTTTCTGAAATTTCTAAAAGATCGAAAAAAAAAAAAATGAAATAATGTATTGTTAACCAATAAACAATTTAATCATTCATTTTTAATTTTGCAACTTGTTAAGAGACCCGGTGCCAATTATTCAAATTTTCTCCACTTTTGAAAAATTTGAAAATTATTTTTAACATTTCAATTACCACCTTAAAGATAAACATTTCCAATTGATCTATTACCCGATATCCATTTAGGGAAAAGGGTAAGGCTGGTTTTACTGACGAAAATGACTTCACGGAAATCATGATATCTTGTTATCAATTCGATATTTCCATAAAAAAATTATTTATCGATAAACAACATTATACAGACCGCATTGAACTCCGATTTTTTAATTTCGATTTCAAATAATGCCAAAAAAAAAAAAAAAAAATAAATGGCAAATAAAATCTTGAATTTTACTTTTTTTAAAAACTTATTATAAATGTTGAGAAGTAGAGTGTATTTTTGTAGGTAACACGACATTGGCACATGACGCCTTAAGTTGTAAATTATTTATATCTATTATTACGAATTAAATGTTTTATTTAAAACGAGTGTGAAAAGCAAAAATCAAAGTATTTTATCGTTTTTCAACAAAAAAAAAAGCTATTAAATTATTATGCTATGATTTATGAGTAAAGTATGATTTAAATACATAATTAATACGAGTCTAAATTGTTTTTCATTATGCGTTGTCTATAAATAAAAGTTAAATAATTTAAAGATTTTACTCATTAACCTAAATTAACCTTACCACTTCCATTCCACTAAACACCATCTAAAATTAAATTTCATAACCAACCCCCCCTCCCCCCGAAAATAAATCCTCGTTGCGCAACTGGTAAAATGTCACTAATTGAGTTAAAAATTACAATTTTAATGACATAATAGTTAAAATGAAACTCATTCCTATTTATAATTCTATGATTGAATACGATAAATGATATTTATTAAAATGATTTTGCATAGTGAAAATTATTTTTAATGTATATATGTATCCTAGCATATCTCATTTATATCCTGCCATAGTTCTCTTTATTACTGTAAATTATTGTATTATTAACTATTTGTTGAGGTATATTGCTAAAGTGTTTACTTTATTATGTAAAGACAATTCTTATAATTGTATATTTCATCATCATGGATGGGTGAGTACAATTTTTAAGTACTTCGAGTACTTTTAAAAAATCAAACTTGTAGCTACCTTGATAGATGACAACGGTATATTTTGAAACTCGTAACTTCTCGCCAATATATTATAGTCTACAAATTTATAACCGACGGAGAAAATAATGAGGTATACGAATATATCGCACAATATTCAAATTATACGCCGTTTAAAATTATCACCCTGCAGAGAAATCGATTCCCAATTACGTGTTTTTTTTTTTTTTTTTTTTTTTTATCGTTTTACTATTTTAGATTAATACTTTTAGTTTATTTGGAACGCATGCGGTTTGTTGATTAACAATATCGTTTAAATTGTTAAAGTATAGTTTTAAGCCACGGTTATCACAATAAAGTATTAAGTTTTAGTATATATAGGTATAGAAAAACAAATTTACTTTTGTTGTATATCCGTATCATTGGGATTGAAGTTGTAATCATCCGATAAATTAGGCTGACTTCTTGTTCTGATAATTTCCTCATTTTTGAGCGGATGAGTATTTACATCGATTGTACTCAACGATGATTCGACTGGATATCTATAATATTCTACATATTCATTCCAATTGACGTGGCAAGAGTTGGTCTTTTCTATATTATTCGTTTTGTCCTCTGGGTGTTGGCTGCGTAATTAATTATGAGTTTTATTAAAATTTATCACTTGAACTAATAATATCATAAAAATAATTTGTTCATGTTTTCTAAGTGATATTGATTACGGTACATAAAGTTACAAAATAATAATGCCCAAATAAAATATGATAATGGAGCCCAAACATTATAATTCATTATCGCGATGTATATACGTATAATATGTGTCCTATATATATATACCAAAATTATGAAGTCTACGTTTAACAACTTTTGTTTGAATAATTGATCGTTTTAAATTATTATTATCATTACGTTTGACAATTTTGGTTAAAAAAAAACTGTGGAGTTAATAAAAAAAATTTAAATTACGCGTTTTGTGAAAACAGCTGATAGTTTTTATTATAGTTATTCGGATAACAATATATATATATTAGTTTATTAAGTAAAATATAAACCATAAAAGTTTAAATTCGCTTTTTAGTAATTTTTTTTTTTATCGGTCCCTATATATTATATAATACATTTTTGTACAATAGACACGTGCCAACTTCAAAACTTCAATTGCAATAAAATAATTTTTGCGACGCATTCATTTTATCGTTGTTTACGAGTCTAAAGCCTATAAATCTTAAGTGAGTAATTTGATTTTGACTCGAAACTATTATTCCTCAATGTACGCCGAATGAATTTCGATTTACTATTTACTGTAATTTGATTGATTGAAATAATTATTTTTATAGACATATTATATTAAACTTTATTCAATTACATTGATTACGTTTTCACTTTATCATGGCACTTGACTAATTATTACGTGTTTTATACCGATTATTTTTAACTAATTTACCAAACTCGTCCTAATATTTAGTATAAAATACACGAAAACGTATTCCACACGGGTTTTAAGATTTTTCCTTAAGATTTAATTTAGATAGTTTATTAATTCATACTCGTTTTCGTCTAGACCACTAAGTAGTCGATGTTGAGACTGGTCTGGATTAAATGAACCGGGGTAGCTTTCGTTTATATGTTTCTGAATCGATTCTTTAATACCCCATTCGAGAAACCGAGCGATTTTCTCATTTATAATATCTTGATTGTCTATTACAGAAACGTCGGAGTAACAGGAATCGATTTCTTCGCTGCTCACTGACATGAATGAATCCTGCGAGTTGTTATCTTCTGGTATATTCCAATCCATTTGTTTTTCCGGTAAAGAAGAGTCCGTGGCCTGAATTTTTTTCACTACCCATGGTGGATTTTCTTCATAGATCTTGTATATTTTGTCACTGCAAGTTTGTTTGGATTCACCTTCGGGAGACAATATCAATATGCCGCTAAACTTCTGGTCATTTTTACCATTACACCTACAGTTGGTACAGCTCGATTGTTCTGTGTATCTTCTCATATTATGAAATATTACTGTAAATTTTGAAACTAGAAATATATTTAAATTTATTTTATTATATTTAGTTGCTGTTAATTTATTAATTGTTTGTCAACGCAACGTTAAGTGATTATTGATATTTATTTTTGTATTAAAATCGCACTATATATAATAAGGTGCAACACAAGTAGCCAGCAAGTACATAATTTCCAACGTTTATTTTTGTTTTAGTATTAAATACAATAAGAATTAATTTAATTGTTTTTTTTTTCGTGTATCGTTTTTATTTATTATTGTAATCGAGCGCGGATTAAGACGTTTTTGAACTCGAGGGCTGAACTTTCCAAAAGATTTAAAATAATTAGTTTAAAATAACCTCAAATATTTAACTCTTTAACCTTTAATCCTGAGTTCACTATAATGAGGATTAAGTTAGATAGATAATAATATGCAGTGTCTATTACTGTAATAATCCAGACAGTTAAAATGCAACAAAGTTATATATTAACGAGAAACTACAGTGAGATTATACGGAATTACTCGTATATTTGCATTTGAACGAACTAAAATCATTTTCTTATTAATTTTTTAATTGTATTTTTTATGAACTTACTGGGAAGTCTGATTTCAATGCATATTTATTTTGATAAACAAATATAATATAATTTTACAATACAGGGGCCTGATGATAGCTATCATGTCGGGTATTATAAGATTTAAAATCTAGAAAAACGAACCTATTGTACTTTTACTTTCCAGTATTATTGTACAACCCACAGTCAGTTATAATACGCATTTCCATATTATAGATATTTATGCAAAATCATGTGATAGGAAATTGATCGTTAAACTTATCTCCGCGAATCCGGTCGGCGTCGACGGTTTTATTGTTATCTACCTACTATATAAACGACGGAGTCGTCAAAATTAATTCTACCCAATTATATGCAATATATTATAATAATACAATGTTGACAAGATTACGGTAATCTAACAGAAACTGCATGTCAGTATGTCACTAACTGTGTTATAAATACCGTCATATTATACGTAATGAGAATTCCGCATATACTTGTATAATTTCTGCATACGCACAATTTATGTATAATAGCAGTATGACAACACCATAAGCACAATTTGGGGGATTTAAGCTCAGCCCTTCAAATACTTTTTTTGCTCCCTCTATCACGATACGATCTTTTTAATAAATAAACACATTGCATAATAATTAACAATATTATTTTAAATTTAACGTATGCAATTTTTAATATCGATACAAATCTTGTTTCCCATTAATCAATAAAACCTAAACCAACTTAAGTCACAGCATAAATCTAAGACAGCAAGTCACAGTCTGTAATAATAGCTGCTTCTGTAGCTGAAAGTTATTATATTATAGTTATCGACTGTTAAAATACATATTACATAAACAGTACTACCCCATTTGGTGGTATCGACAATAATTTTGTTAATGATTTCTGGAAACATCAACAAATAAATAAATATTAATGTGAATTTATCAATTTCGCTATTTCAAATGTTTAAAAAAAATGTATAGTGTCTTTCATTATTTTGTGGATGAATGTGTAAAATAACCACCTCTGTACCTATTATCTGGAAAAGTCTGGATAATATTCATAATGTGTTGATAAAATATAACAAAAAAATCCAGCAAGATTTCAAAAAGTATGCAAAAGGACGTAGGTTAAAAGCCCTTAACCAATCTGTTTAGTATAAGTTTGACCAGCCCCTATCCTGATTAAAAATTTAAATTAAACATATGGTCAACACCTTTATGTACATACACTGTATATTTACATGGAAAATTAGTCTTAAGGTTTATCTGAAACCACATAGTTTATATTTTTAATTTCTGATTTTATCAAATATTTATAATATTTCTACAGTAAAAAGTATTCACTAAAATATTTTAAAACCCAAAAACGTAGATCTAAGATAACACTATAAAACACTTATCTGTTCGAATAACGGATTAGTTGATGCATCGTTTTGGGTTAGGGTTTTCCATTATGTTAAGAATAAAAATGGAAGGAGGCATTAAATTATGATGCAATTTAATTTATAAAATTACGCATCGATAATTACCCACTAAAAATGATTCTAACAGAGCATTATCAGTAATATTGTTTTCCTTGTTTTGATGGTAACCTAGATATCAACGAAAATAGTTTTGTATAATTTCTAGTTTTTTCCGATTTATTAAGATCTATAAAGAAAATCCAAAAATCACTTTCTAAATACATTAACTAGATCAAACAATGATACATGAAAGTTCTTAAAAAATATTGAAGTAAGATTCGGATGGAAAAGTTATTTACAGAAATGAAAAAAAAAAATGTATAAATTAATAATTGTTATTTTTTAAATTCAAACTCGCAGATTCGAAGTCCTTATTTTTAAATGGACGTTATGCCAGGAATTTCCTCTTTAACCGTTCAAAATTTCGATCAGTTATAGTCAACTATAGGCGCATACTCTGCAGTGTACTGACCCATGAAATCCCATCAAAATTGTTTTTCTCAAATGCGATTTATTACTGGTTTCAGATGAGCTAAAACGTTTTACAAAAGACGTTGTTCTTTTTGGGATTTGTTTTTTTTTGGTTTGTTTGCTTATTCTCTAAAAACAAGACACCCGGCAGACGTTCACTATAATTTAATCAGAAAATGGTTTCGTCTTATATGTGCGCTAGTGTAAGACTCTCGGAGAGCTTTTAAAATTTATTAAAAACAAAAGGCGCTTTTAACGGATACACGCTAATATATAGAAAGCCTGATGCGTGGCGACATAGAGAGAAAGAGTGGAGAAATGTGTCTTGTTTGTTTGATGAATGAGGGTCTCATTTTGTATCGACATGGCAAAGTGCTTTTTTGGATAAATTTTGTTGGACGGTCAGGAATTGGGCCACATTTTATATATCTACATTGTAAACAATTTTTATATATGTTTTATTACCCGGGTATTGGGCCACAAATGTATAACACACAAATATATAATTTTTAATATATTAAAATAAATAATATTAAATACAATATGAAATTAGCTAAACAATTATTAATTTCTCCTCATACATGATAGTAATTACATACAATTTTTTTATAATACATTTTTTTTTTTTAAAAAACAAATATAAAATACAATATAAAATTAGTCAATTAATTATTCATTTTTTTTTTCAAATTAATGTATTACCGAATACCTTTTTGAAAAAAGATTCATTATGACCCAAATCCAGGGCGCCCAATTCCAGGTTTCCCAAACTGCTGAAGTATTTTGTCGTTTTCATAATACTGGTCCACGGTAACAGACCCTTTAATCCGGCCGTTTGTCAAATCCGGCTCTGTCCCGAAATCGCATAATATATTGTAATGAACTTATGGGACGTTACACGAACATTTATTAACACACGTTACGTGTCATCATCCATTTTAATGAAATAAAAAAAAATTAACTTTTGTATATTAACAATAACTGGCTATCAATCGGATTTAAAATGTATCGTGCGAATGTGCTATTTATATTGTACTTATTGATATTAGTGAGGTGAACTTGTGGTAGATTTTCCTATTTAAGATAGTTTTAGAATTATTCCGGCACATTATACTATGCTGAACTGCATTAAGTATATTATTATTATTATAATGTCTGAAATATCAAAACTGTGTACTGCCCAAGGTACTGAAACTTTTCATTTAACGACGAACTCCCTAAAGAAAATGTAACTCTATAATAACTAATGTACTCGTAAATCATATTATTAATTATTATTTTGCGCGTACATACACAATGCTCGTATGCGTCAAATAATACTGTCGGGTTTACATAATATTACATAATACACAATATAATAATATTATTCAAGGTACCTATACAAATTCTTAAAATTTGTTAACCATCGCGATTGATCTTTTGTCGGAAACTTCGTTAACAAACAACGCATAAGTATAGGTAGAAAAAAAAATTTTGTTGCGTACAAATTGATATTCATATTTTCACCACCTACCACATTTCCCGTCTATTTTTTCGTGTTCCGTAAAAATATACAAATCAAATTTTAACTCGAATAACGAAGCCAATTTGCGTATTTTAAAGGCGACGCGGCGGTGGCGGCGCATCCGTTTTATTAAATTGTTTTGTTTCTCTCGCCGCCGCCGCCGCCGACGGAACTTTGGCGATGAATAATTTATACAATTATAATAAAATACAAAGTATACGGTATGGAAATATTATGCCGCGCATCTACTAATTCATTATCAATTTAATCAGATATACATTTTTATGTATTATTATGATGGTGATTACAATACCGTAGCGTACCCGTAAAGTATTTTCAAACGTTTGACTCGGTTTTCTCGAGCAGAGTCGTGTAATGTATGATTTTGCCAAGGATATTGTTGTAAGTTTGTAAATTGTGTCATACTGTATAATGCGTATCCGGATTATATATGATTTTCACAAACACTGTATTAAAAACAAACGGTTTATCACGCACGGTGTTTGGGACACTGTTGTAGGCGAGAAGTTGAGTAGTTAGAGAGGAAATTGTATGCACATTTGTACCCAAAGATTAATCATCGCTAACGAAAAACGATTCTGGGCGGATTGAGTTCGGATACACATGTTTTGAAAGTTCGTATTATTTATGATTTGAAAATAAAATTTCGTAATTGTTCCCGTTTTTTCCTGGTTCATTATGAAAACTCCCGGCAAAATAAAAAACTGATCTCTTTAAAGTACCACTCCGGTCCAATTTACTTTCAAAAAAACTGCTATACTTGAAAATCGATGGGAAATTTCTTGTAGAAAGTTGTTCACCTCGTTCCGCTCAAAATCTGAAATCGATAGTAATGGATATAATAAATACTAAAAAAATAGTCAGAGGGAGAGATACATCTCCCTAATAACCCCTCCCAATACGCCACTGTTCTCGCGTTTACTATAATTACTCGCACTTTGCCAGTTTTCCGGCCAACCGGGTGTACAGAAAAGACAGCATCCAT